GAAATTCTGTCTTGGTCACTCATGGGAGTTAAAGGGTTAAAACATCAAACCTTTTATGAAAATTATGATTTTTCATATATTTCATAAAGCTTATGAAGATCTTGCAACCAGACAGAAGATAAGGCAGAATATGTGGAACAGGCCTGGATGGGACACATGTGTTGCTAACACTGGTATGTTGTACCTTTATGAAATCATGAAATCTCTTTCAGGGTTTACTTTGGGTTACAAAATTTTGCTCTCAATAGAGGTTTCCTGTCAGTTGGGATTGATATTTGTGTTACTTCAATAAGGCTTTCCCTGAATCTATTTCCAAGGAGTTTTTTGAAAGGAATTTTGAAAAGAAACAATGTTAGGCTACTTGCAGTAACTCCTCGTAGGCAAAGTCTGTTGCTACAAGAATCAGTGAAAAAAAAAAGTGTAGCTAGCGCATGGAACCCTTGGAGTGATGCCCAGATTTCTGTGCCACACACTGGGAACACATTTTTAGAGGGTTCTTCTTTCCTAAGAAGCAATCTGATCATAATTTGTGATGAAAAAGAATTTCATTTACCTGCGATGAAAATCAAATTTATCTCCAATCATTAAAAATTATGAACCTTCATTGATCATAATTTTAACACTTTTTTCCATTTTGTATTTTAGTTCCATTGATTCGTCGAATGGAATCAAGAATAATGATTCCTTTGCCATTTGGACCTCTTCAGTAAACACACAAAATTTTTTGATACTTTTTGGCAACATCAGGATTATAATACCATATATACCTGTGCTCTTGCCCTGCTTCATTAACCCTTTGACTCTCAGGAGCAATCAATAAATAGATTCTCCACACTGCTCTTGTACACTGGCATGCAGATAAGCATTGAGAATCACCAAATTATCAACTATGGGAATATTTTCTGAGAACCAGCCAACAGAGAAATGTGCTGATGATATAAGTTGAGAGAATTCACTCTCAGATCTTGAGAAGTAAAAGGTTTACTCCACAACAATAGTACCAATTTCATTTATACCTTTTGATGACAGAGACAAAAATTTATATGGTTTCAAGGGAGACCTTTTTTTTTTTCGTGATGTAATCAAGGAAAAGTCTGTGTAGAGGAACACAGCTAAAAGATAAATGTATACTCTAAGACCTACTGTTATACTCAGCTGATTTGGGTTAATTGATTTGATAAAAAATGCCTCTTTCTTGATGACCAATCACTATCTCTTTTATAAGATATGTGTATTGATTATGTTAGGAAAATTCAGGGAAAAATTATTTTCATATCCTATATATTTAGCAGTTAATTCTAAACCTGGTCATTTGATCAGTATTACTCTAAAAAATCGCAGATAATGATCTTGTGATTCATTCTGATACTCATAGCTCATTGAGAAGCTGTAATGTCTCAATTTTTAAGGGACTTGTGTGTGGGTTTATGCCTTATTTGTGTATGTGGGGTAACTTTTTTTTTCATTTACATCTTTGAATAATTACTACATGAGCAATTATTTTTCTGAACCACAATCTGGCATCTTATTTAAAGCATTTGTTTTCATTGTGACATGGAAGTATGCTATTGGTGTTATCAAATGTTCCATTCTTCTTCCTGAATTATTTATTTGATTTCTTTTTCCCGGCTGTTTCGAGAGGTTTACAGTTCATAAACTGAAAGCGGGGCCATTCAGACCGTGAAAATTAATCAAAGAGCAGAACTGAAATAGTAGCTGTCAATTTGTGCTATTCTGCCAAATTAAATGTCGAGTACAAAACAAACGAATCTTGACTCGTTATTTACGAATTACGGTTAGATCGCACCATGGTTAGATCGCTCCAACCAAAAGTTAGATCGCTCCACTCGAAAGTTAGATTGCTCCATCAAATAAGGTACTTCGCTACCATAATAAGTTACTTCGCTACCAATATAAGTTACTTCGCTCTATGTAGAAGACTAAGGTAAAGGTAGCAAAACTCGTGTCTGTTAAATGTTAAGACGAAATTACTGGTCTTTTTATTCTTTCACGTGGTTGTGGATTGTAGACGTAGAATTGGGGAGAATTAAACGCAGCATTTAGCTATTACGACATGATTAGCGGATTGGTAAAAAACAAGATAGAGATGATGCTCTGAAAAGGTTGCCAATAATGAATTTAAATTAGCTCGTTGAATGCAATATGTGAACTGTGGCATGTAAGGAAAGTTTCGTCACATAATTTTGTCAGAATGGCCTTGCTTTCAGTCGATTCACGTTCAAAATGTGTATGTTGCTGGACTGTTTTTGCCTTGTAACAGTAGCATGTGCTTGTAAACCGTTTTTCAGTGAAAGTTTTGAAGAAATGGGGGCGAAAGTTAAAGTGTGGTGTACTTTAAAGACAATAAATTCTCTGGAAAAGTTTGTTACACAGACTGTTTATTTTTTATGGGGGGAGGGGGCACTTAGGTATATTTTGGATAGTGTGAGCCGCCTGGGTCTCAAACTGAACCTCGTAAAATGAATTGACCACCGCAAAGAGGTTCCAAAGCTGTTCTTAGCATTAGTCAAACGCAGTCTTACCGGAATAATTCTCGCTTAGTCGCGTAAAAGACACGGCAAGAAGTCGTGGGCTAAACCTCGTGTGCGGAGGACATCGGCAGATTGTCGTTCCAGAAAATTTCGCGCCAAATTACTGCGAATGACGAGAGAATTTTCTCTTTTCAAAAACATGATTGGTTTTTCAAAGTTTTATGGGACGTGGAACACGTTCAATTGATTCTTTTTCAAGGTAATTTTTCTTTCTCTTCTTTTCTTTTGAGCACTGCAGGCGAGAGGCCATAGTAAAGTGATTTTAAATGTAGCGTCGCGATAAGCGCTGTTGTTAGACACAAAATAATTTGTTTCAAAAGGCATAAACTATTTCTCTCTAAACTATGATGTCTTCAATTATCTTTAGTGAGAGTGTCGACCTACGAAGATTCTCTGAAACAATTATTAAGTAACTTCGGGTCAAAATCGGGTAAAGTTCGGCGCTCTGTTGTTACACCCAGTCACTCTTACAATCCGACGACATAGTGGTTTTGCCTCCTCCAAATTTCCTACTATAAAATTCAGAGTGAAAGATGAAAATATAAATTGTTTGCGCGCACAGTCACCTCTAAAGAAGGTGCCAAAACTGCAATAAAAATTAAAAATAAGGGAACTTTTTCCTTATCGTAGATAGTAGTAAACTAGAATTGATCGAAAGTGTAAGAAGGGTAATTTCCAGGAAGTACTTGTACAAGCATCAACTTATATCCAAGTAATCCTATACATCCAAGGGTAAACAACACAAGTTATTCTGATTTTAATAAAAGCAATTAAGAAATGACTTACTTAAATAGACGGTAACCTCGGTAACTGAACATCTGTTTCACGCCGAGTTCATAATGAGAAGAGATATGCTTCGATCAGTCACCAAGGCTTTTTTCTCATGATAAGAGAAGTTGTAAACTCAGAAACAAAGAGAGTAATGGATGATCAACTTGCTTTTATGAAGTTTAATACCTTTTTTAACAACGCTTTTTTCAGTCGTTGAAAAAAATTGTTCCATTACACCGCGAAGAAACAGCAACGACGTAAACAAAAATTCCACTTCATAACATGGACTGGCGATCACAGGTAAGCGTTTACAATAAGAAGCACTGATTCAGCGTTTGATAAGTTTAAATCTCCATTGTTCAAGAACACATTTCAAATTTCAACACGGCACAAATAGCAAATACATTAACTCATTGAAAAATTCGGACTTTTCAATGAAGAGGCTGAAAAGACAGCATGTTTATATGATATCTACCGATGAAGGACTAAGCCCGAAACTCCACAATATAAATGACTTTAGGACTGAGAACTTACAGTCAGACTGCAATCTACTGAGCTTTTGGAGCCTTCCCAAAAGCGATTCCTCTTAGCTAGATCATTGACGTTGTGATAACTTTCTTATACTGTAACGATTCATTAAGAGAAGGAAATTATCGTCATTTTACGGGAGATTTAACCCTTAACTCCCAAGGCTGATTAGCATTTGATTTCTCCATACATTTTCATCTCTGAATCAAACATTTAAGGTCTTGAGAATAAAGGAAACGGATCTTCAACTAAAAAATACTCTTCATTGTTAAACAAATTCTCCTTGTCAGCACCTCAAGACACGTATAGAGAACAATATGGAGATTATGTATACTGATGCCAGGGTGAAATAAATATCATGAGTTGTTTTAGGCCAAACTCCTCTCACCTACCCCTCCCCACTATTTTGAATTGCGTCACTATCTCCCAAGCTCCTTCCCTCTTCCTGCCGCGCGCCATATTGAATTTGTACAATCCTGTGCGATCAGGGTTGGTTGCACGGCCCAGTGCACCAGGAGAAAGGACAGGGCGCAATGGACGCTCCAGAGGTTATCGATTCATTAGAAGATCTAAGATTGACAGGGAGAATTGGCTACGTATGTTGTTCAATTTGCCACAATTGACAAGAAATCGGTTAGTTGTTGTGACCCACGTGTTTCTAGTTTTGACAACTGTTTGTGTTCTTACAGGTTCCCAATCGTTATACGGTGCCCTTAACACAGGGTATAGATATCAACGACCTGATTAGAGGAGACGGTAGCATGTTTGAGACTGATCTCAATGACATGGGTAAGGACAATTTGTGAGACCAACCATCCATCTAGCCTGGCCAATTCTATTTTGCGAAAACCAGGCGAGATATAACGAAACTAAAGGAATTATGCAGATATATTTTCTAGTAAGGTAAAGATAACTTTCGTCAATTGATAAGAAGGATTTTTATTCATTTCTCAGAGTAGTAATTTCAGAAGGGTTATTATTTTGAGAAATCTACTATTTTCACCTTGCGGTGACAACGTGACCTCTTTCATGTCACAAAAATACATTAGTATATTGTTACGGTATAATCTAACCGAAAGAAAAACACTACAATCCTACAAACTCAACTGCTTTAATTGAACAGCGAGTAATGTTCTTAACAAGGAGAATCTCCTGAAAGCAGCACAATACTTATTGTTAATAAACTTAATTAAGCTTACCACAGTCTGTATATCCCCAGCTCATCACTGACACAATCTCACTGCTGTCTCCAAAGTTCCTGAAATGAGCAATCTTCCACAGTAACTCTCTCTCGGTATAGCTTTCAAAACAGTCGTTGCTCCAACAACAACAACTACTCCTACTACTACACAAGTGAGTCTTCATTGCATTCCAGGAAGGAGAACACATACTAGTTGTGTTGTTTTTTGTGGAAATCACTCTTGAGGGTTTTATGGACCATTCCCAAGGGGATTGATCGTGATGCCAAGTGATTTCAGGTGTTGGGCGCCATTTTGGACTAGCTGGCTGGCTATGTGGCACCAATAGCCTCGATCTCGTGTGCAAATGTTTTCTTGGCCACCTTGAGCTGAAGACACTGAATTTTTTTCTGCGCAATCAGTACAATAAAAAAGCTTTTACTAGAAAGAAGGGGAATTCACAATTCTCCCATGAATCTGATTGTTTCCTCTCTTTTTTCAAGCTGCTTTTGAGGATGAAGAGGAATCACAATACTTTGATTCTGAGGATGTTTTCCAACAGCTTAACTATGAAGCTAATGATTTTGGAGATGATTCTGGCTCAGACAGAGATGATGATTTGGTAAGTTTCTTGGACTTCTATTGGCTGCACTGGGATGTAGGCTGCATTGTCCTGTAAAGGAGGGGGAGAGGGTGAGAAACAGGATCAGCATCTTACTGTAGTTGCTTATACCGTTGATTGCATTTACCCTTCCATGCAAGTGATAAAACATGTTCTGTTGGCCTATCAAACTTCAATGTCTACAACCAACCAATAGAATGTAAACAAACATTATTACGAGAAGTGTGATTTGAGTGTTCTGTTATATTGTTTCCTCGTTGCTTTCGAGATTTGCAAGGTCTATCATTTGATTTTGTAATTCATTAGAGAGTGGTATACCAACCCTTCAAATTTCTGCCTTGTTTGTCTACAGCAAATACCATTGCTAAGCACCATCACTAAGTGCAAATACCTTCTAAAGAGGGCAGGCAATGCAAAACCTTCGCCCAAATTGGCCAAACATTCAGTTTACAGAGAGAGACATGGACAAATTTTAAAAAGAATAAGGGGGGAGGGGAGGGTCACAACATCATACTCTAATCACAATTTTCACCCATAGTCTAATTTTTTAGATGGCAGCCAAAGTCACAAAACTGTATCTTTAAGCTGAATCAATCTGTTGACAATTTGTACATCTGAAACAACAAACAGGTGGAAAGATACCGTAATAAAGTAAAGCTCATTTTCATAATGTGTTCATGTGTCAGACACCTTTTCAACGCCTTGCACGTGGTATGGAAGATCTCACAGGAGATGGAGGAGTTCTTAAACAAATTCTAAGAAAGGGAACAGGGCCTGTTGTACCTGAAGGGGCTACTGTGAGATGTATGTACATTACATTTGTTACAAGGCTAGTATAGTACTGTTCTTAATTAAGCTACCTGTCCAGTGTCCAGAGAATTGACTGGCAAACTGTTGTTGTAACTGCAGTGTTAGTTTGGAGAACTCTTAAGTTGGCTGTTTACAAGAGCCTAGGACATCTGAGTTTTTCTCAAAGCTTTGAATTAAAAGTTAAATTTTTTGTAAACATTGCCTCCTGAGAAGTAAGTAAAACGTCTACTACTAATTTTGTTATATCTGGACATTTATGTTTTGCTTGTTTGTAGATCATTATAATGGCTATTTGGAGTTTAATGATGAGCCTTTTGATTCCTCAAGGTTGAGAAATAAACCAGAAATTCATAAGCTTGGTAAGTGATGAATATAATTAACAATTAGGTTCCATTTTGCTGTGTGTCTGTTAAGTGATAGATCACAGATGAAATAAAAATGCAGTAAGAACCAAAAAGCAGCATGTAAGGGGCACCCCTTTAATTGAACTATTTTAAAATGTGCAAAGAGGGTGTATTTTTGGATGAAAAGCCTTCAACAAAGTGGGAATGTGGCAGTGCATGGTCCACAAATACGGCAACAAAAATTTGTCATTAAATAATCTTATCCTAAAAACTGTTTCTGAATATTCTAGACAGGGCTCCCTGAGGCTAATCTTGCATATAGAGTGCCAACCACCAAGTCATCATGTCTCCCAACTCCTCCCCCACCCTCCCCTCCTCCTTCTATAATACATGAATGATTCAACTTCTCACATGAAAAGTTGGATTTATTTTCAATTAGTTTGATGCTTTTTTCTCCCTTTGTTCCACATACACTAACATATTTAGTAATCAAAGGAGCATACAATTAAACTAGTGTGAAATCATTTTGACCTGGAATCGTTGTTAACTTTAACATGTACACTAAAATTTAGCTTAAACTCTTATGGTTTCAGAGGAAAACATTCTAGGTCTCTATCTTGGTTTACGGACCATGAGGAAAGGAGAAAAGGCTAAGTTTCTTGTGACTCCAGAATATGGCTATTTAGAGATGGGTTGTACTCCTCGTATACCTGCATCAGCAAAAGGTTTGTGTTCATGATTATGTTGCTGTGATTAAAAATAAAATGCAGTCCCCTAACATACTCTTCCAGAGACATATTTTTGAGACACTAACAGTCTCCTTAGCCTCTCTCAATGTTGTTCTCCCAAATACTGCAAACAAACTGCCTGTTGTGAACTTAGGAAAGAAGATAGGGGCAGTAGAACAGGGGATAATGGTTTACCAAAGAAGCCAGACAATAATATCTCAGAGTTCATCTACTGCCTCAGTTTGTTATTGTTATTGTTGTTGACAGTTGATGATGGCATCAGATCAACTTTAAAGGTTCATCCATATTTTACCTTATGTTATTTAATTTCTCTGCTAACAGTACTTTTTGAAGTGGAGTTACTGAACTTCATTGACCACAAAGCTGCTGACGATTTTGACGCATTTACTGAGGTCAGTAGATATAATAACAACAATAATAATAATAATAATAATAATAATAAATATGGTAATAATAAGAATATTTATTAACTTATTTAGCGCAGATATCAATTGGAGTATGTTAGATGTGTAACTTGTTTGGCATTCTCTGCATGATTCTTTTCACACATCAGAAATACAACTGACTTTTTTAAAAGTTTGGGCCAAACCAGCTCTTTGACGAATGATAAACTTGGGAGTTGGAGCCTGGAAGCAGGAGGGGCCTGGAGTATAGGAAGCAGTGTTGCTTGATGATCTGCCAAAATAAGCCAAGCAGAGCTAAATTATGAAATCTCTTGAATAATCCCCTGAAGTATCAGGGGAAACTCTGCACACTGCCTGCCAGCTTGCATAGGGTGCAATTGCTGGCCGACCAACCATGTCTTGATTACATTTACTTTAAAGATATTAGGTTAAGTATATACTCATATGTATTGATCTACCCTGCCATAGGTTATCCCGGTTTCCAAGTAGCATTCACCCTGTAACTCCCATGTGTGACCAGGACATAATTTCTCCTTACAATATCAATATAATATCACCCAGATAAGTGATGAGAATAAAGAAAAATATCAAGTTGGGGATAATTAGTTGATCCAATACTAAATTCTCTGAACTAACATTATAAGAATTGTATGGTTGACAGTGAGGAGAATGACAAATTTGATCAGGGAGGTAAAGGGTTAATGGTGTTAAGAATGTACTTGTGTGCATTGGTCCACCCGGCCAGAGCTTATCCTGGTTTCCAAGTAGCATCAACCCTTTAATTTCCATGCGTGACCAAGACAGAATTTCTCCTTACAGTATCAATACAATATCAAGCATACAAGTGATGAGAATAAAGAGAAATGTCCATAAGGGGATTACAATTTGATCCAATACCAAATTCTCCAAACTAACATCACAGGAACTGTATGCTAGACAGTAAGGAGAATTACTAAATAAATGAGATCCTGGGGGTTAAAGGGTTAAGTGAATAGGAGTATTACTACTCACCCCCAGATGGGATGCTAGTTCGTCACAAGGTTACCTCCCAACCTTTCATCAGGCTTTTCTGACAATCTGAAATATTATCTGCTTACAGGAAGAGAGGAAGCAAGCATCATTTGAACAACTTCTTAAAGTGGCTAACTCAGAAAGAGAGGTACACAAGGCAGTGTTAAATTTTGTTCATTCATTTACATTCATGTAAAACTCTTTAATATTTTAAAGCTGTGGTATCAAGCATTAGCCCTTCATCAGAGTGAAAGTTCTTAAGTGAAATCTTAAGAAGAATTCACCTAAGATTTGCTCTGACAAAGGGCTAACACTCAAGACTTCAGCTTTGAAACTCTTTATAGTAGCAAATTTACATTATCAACTCAGTTGATTATACTAAATTACCCTGTTACACTCTCCCACTGACGCAGCACCACAGTTGCCCCCTTTTTTCTCTAATATTTTGTTATTTTGATAACTGATCAACATCATGCCCTTAAATATACTTGCCCTTGGAAGTGTAAACGTCTTGCTCCATTTCTGAAATGTTTGCATCACAAGGCAAATGGTAATACAGTTGAACCCCACTAATTTGAAAAAGATCAGATTTCCCTTGGATTTGACCCTATTTTTCCAGTCATTTACTATCAGCTAATTTGAACTCATTCAACTCACACTCCACTTTACCTCAAACAAATTTTACTTTCCCCAGGCTAAAATTTAATCTGATAACTGGAACTCAGTAAAAACTTTGGTGATTAAAGCAAAAGTGTCAGAATGTAGCTGATTGACACTTCCCAATTTTTAATTCGTGATTGATAATACATAATACATTCAGCTAAACTTCCTAAAGATAATGTTTTTAATATCAAAAAGCCCTTGTTAAAAAACTAAATGCAACAAAGTGATTCTTGATCAAGTGAGAGAGGGAAAACCATTCCTTATTAATTATTAACAGGATCATTGAAATTTAACACCAATCCCAATAACTCAAACTCCTGCTAACTTGAACCAAATTTCATTTTCCTTGAAAGTTTGAGTTAGTGGTGTTCTACTGTACCTCATGTCTAATTTATTCACCTAGATGAATAACCACAAGTTTTTTTTGTAATGATTTGTATTTTTTTTTTCTGCAAAGCATTCTGTGATTTGCTCTTTTACATTTCATGTTATTCATTTTTTCTAGGCTGGAAATGACTTTTATAAACGAAAGCAAGTTCATCGTGCTGTGGGCAAGTATTTAAAGGTATGAAACACATGAGCTATAATTTTAATCATTTTCACTATAAATAAATGAAATTCAATATAAAAAGATTAAGCAAAGGTGTAGATGTTAAAAGATATATTTTTGGGTGAAGAGCTGTAATTTACCCCTTAAATGTGGGATATAATGAAAACATAGAAAATTTGTGAAGCAAATGAAAAACCTTAAACCTCAGTCTATACCCTTTGCATATTCTCCATACTGTTCTCTGTACATTTCCTAAGGTGCTGATAAGGAGAATTTGTTTAACAATCAAGAGCTTCTTTAGTTGGTGGTCATCTCCTTTATTCTTGTGGCTTTAATGTGTGGTTTGGGGTGATATTGTACAGAGAAATTATAGATGCTAGTCTCTCCAAAAGGTAAAACAGTTAAATCAAGCATTGGCAGAGAGGAGATCTTGAAATGAAATTCAGATGGCATTTTAAGAGCAATTAAGGGAGGAGGTTGTCATTAGGGACTTTTAACCATAAATCTTGTTATGACAAAATTCATTCAGTTCATTACCATGTTCAAGAAATATAATTCTATATTTTGAGTACCTGGACTCTTTCTCGCCTGTAATTTTTCTTTTTTTGATCCCAAGTTTTCTCAGTCTGTTTGAATCAAGTCTGGGTGATTTCTGTGCATTCTTCTATATTAACTAATATTTCTAATTAAATTTTCTAACCATAGGCAATCAAATTACTGGAAAACTGCCATTTACAAAATGCTGATCAAGAGAGATGGATGAATGAAGTTTTGCTAAAACTTTATCTCAATGCTGCTCACTGTTTTCTAGAGTTGGCAGAAGTAAAGAAAGTTCTGACCTATGCAAGAAAGGTACTGGTAGACACATTATGCTTTTGTCAAAAGATTTGAAGAAAAACTTATGCCCATCTAATATACCTTTATAGTGGGTGACTAAATGGTTTAAGGCAAAGCATCCCCTTAAGGGTTTGAAAAATTATAGAGCTGTTGCTGGTGATGTCTTATTGTCGCTTGTTTTCATGACTGAGGCTAATTTTTAGCTTTCTCTGTGACTGAAGAAAGACTTTTTATAAGGAGAATTGTTTTGTTTTTTCTGTCAAAAGTTGAAGTAGCATTCCCTTGAGCTGATTGTTCTTTCAGGTCATCACAGCAGTTGATGCTCTTGAAATATATTTTATAGCTAGTACCTAATGAAAAGAACATTCTATGTCCACTTGTGGATACAAATTCATTTCCTTGTGGTAAAAAAATCCTTATCTATTACTAACCTTGTAACCATCAAAATAATGTTTTTGTTCTTCCAGGCTTTAGGTATTGACCCAAAGAATGTGAAGGCTCTCTATAGAATGGGCAAGGTAATTTGAAATTTTAAAAATTCTTGCACTCTGCAGGTTTATGGACTGTTTGAGGGATGTAAACAAATGGATGAGTAATGTAACATTTATTCGTTCACTGATCAGCTAACCTCCATTTAAGTTGTGGTAAGCAAAACACTTTTACAGCCTCTTGTATCTTGCACACACAAAACAAATCTCTCTCATTTGCCAAAGGAACAATGCACAGTTTTGTAGTGTGCCCTAAGTTGCAAAATTGTACATTCTTTCCATATGAATGGTAAGTGTGGGGATGCAACCACTTCAGATAAAATGTACAGACTTAGTTTACATTATTAATAGTGAAATCTGTCATATGCCCCCTACATAATTGTTTACAATACATGTATCTTGTGATGCAGTTAATTGAATTTGCAATACAAATTATTTTCCCTGAAAAAATTGATAATTTTCAGGATACCTGTAATTTTTGTCTGTATGCATACTTTAGCAGTGTGTAGTAATGCCTTGTGATAAACCTTCACCATCCCTCATACTGAGAATTTGATTTACAGGCCTTACAGAAGCAGGGTGAATTTGACAGCGCTAGAGATAAGTTCAAGAAAGCACAGTATTATGAACCCAACAACAAAGCAATAAAAGATGCCCTTATTGAACTGGACAGGTATGAGGACAGTACCTTTATTTCTAGGGAGTGCTAGTAAAATTTACATGGCATACACATAGGCATTCTATGCTGAGGATGTGAACTTTTTTTTAATCCTCTATGTCCTAACATCAGTATTCACACCTGGTATTCTCCATACTGTTTGTTATACATTTTCTATGGGACTGACAAGGAGAATTTACTTCACAATCAGTGGCTTCCAAAATTGGTGATTATTTTCTGTTTTCTTGTCACCTTTACATTTGATTCAAGGGTGATTCTGTAAGGAGAAATTAGAAGCCAATCACTCTCAGAGGTTCAAGGGTAAAAAAAAAAACAAAAAAAAAAAACCCCCTTCCAATATTAATATTGATCTGCAACAAAGTATTTTTCATTTGAGATGGTATGGAACTTTTTTTCATCAAATGTAGGAAAGTGAGTCAATTCAAATCCCTTGAAAAGCAGACTTTTGCACGAATGTTTGCTCCTGCTAAGAAAGGTATGTAGCAAATAGCGATTACTTTAAAAGACACTGTTTTACTGAGTCAGCGAGAAAAGGAACTGTCAAGATAAAATAAACAACATTTAAATTTGTTACCACTTTATCAGATAGACAGATGTTTGACCCTTTGCATGCTAACATCAGTACAAATAATCTCCATATTGTTCTCTTTACATTTCCTAAGGTAGTGACCAGGAGAATTTGTTTAACAATCAAGAACTTCTTTGTTAGTGATAATTTCCTTTACTCTCACAATGTTAACGTGTGGTTTGGGGGGTGATAAGATACAATGGTAATAGGACTGAGTGGAGTCCAATTTGGTCTGTAATCATACAAGTGATTAAAAAAATTCGATGAGCATGAAGTGGGAGTCCGATTTGTTAATTACGAGTATGATTACAGACAGAGTTGGATGACAGTCCAATTAATCATAACCATTTCAATTTCCATTGTCTTCAGTGGAGACAGTGTCTTTTGTCTAAAGTTCCTTTATTTTAGAAATCCCCAGTTTTTCTTTGGATAAGAGGTTGTTGCTATGGTTATTTTGATCATTTCTGTGATTAGTGGATTAGCTGAGTGGACTTAGTATGATTGGCTGCTTCAACTGTCCAATTATAGGTGTCCGATTACAGCCAACTGTCTGATTACACTGTCCTATTACAACTGTACAGAATGATTAAAGAAAAATGAAGCTGCAAATGCACCAATAATATTTGAGGAATTTGTAATGGTTATGATAAAAGGAGAAATTGGATGCTGAACTCTCTTAGGAGTCAACCATACCAAAATGTTCCTTTTATTTACTCAGAACAAGGTAAGGATGAAAAATCTGTACAGGCACCTGTAGACCTTGAAGCAGGAAAAAAGGAAGTGCTTATTAAACAATTAAGGTGAGCCATCATACCCCTTTGCCCTTTCATTTGTAAATTATTCCTTTATGGCAAAATGGATGGAATTTAAATTTCTTTTTTTTCCCTTTCTTTTCATTCATTTTGTGCTGTGCAGGGAGTTTAAAGAGGAGGATGGCACTAAAGAAATCTTTTTCCCTACAACATTAACTCAGCATGAAAGAGCTTACATTAAACAGACAGCTCAAGAGTTGGGCCTCAAAGTAGAAGGCAAAGAGGTATATAATGTTTCATTAAGTTTTAGTTAGTAGCCTTTCTTAACACTTTAAACCCCAACATCAGTATGCATATTTTCCATACAGTTCTCTATACATTTCTTATGGGCTGATAAGGAGAATTTGTTCAACAATCAAAAGAATCTGCAGTTGGTGATCATTTCCTTTATTCTCATGACCCTGATGTGTGATTCAGGGGTGATATTATAAGGAATTAGATGCTGGTCAGCAGGGTTTTGAACAGCTTTGAAATGAGATTTTTTGTCTTTGTCATTTTGTCATGAGATGTTAAGAATGTGTTGTTTTACAATACATAAATAGGAGGGTTTGAATGTGGATCATAGAAGGCTTAGCTTTTTCAGCAAAGAATTCTCAAGTAAGTTCTTTTTAACTGTATGTGTAAAGCTAATACCAACATCTTTTTTCTGCCTTGTAGGGTACAAACAAAGAACTGAGGGTTACAAAAGACTAGTGGCAAGGAATCTCTGAGTTGAAGTTTTGTTTGGTCAGAGCTAAATGACTGATCCAGCTACAGAGCAACCAGTTGGATTTAATCTAAAGATATATTGCTCTCTGACAAGTCTCGTCGAAGGATCAGTGTATTGGTTACGTAACCTAACTGTTTGCGTCGTAAAGAAATTTGCTGTTTTCATTGACAGGGGGCTATGTTGTGAGGCTCCAGTTACTTCAATCTTAAAATCCGACCAATCAGGTAATTCCATGTAGCTGTGAGTTATTCCATAGTTACTCAGTGGTGGGATGGATGTTTCATCCCAGTAACACCAACCTGATGAATTTATATCTTCATCACTCTCTTTGTTGGATTATTTATTGATATGTTGGGAGAAGTTGCATGAATGGTTAACTCTTAAGTGTGCAGCACATTTGAAAATTTTTTGGACGAGTGTTTTCACCTCCTAAAGCTTAGTCTGCCGGGCAAAAGTGTATCTTAAATTGAATGAAACTTTGCCATGGATATTTATTTTGTTATTTCCAATTATATCTTTGAACACCAATTAACTTGAAAATATCACATTTATTATCTAATATAGAGCAATTTTCAGTTGAGTGTCAAAAAGAAAATCTATGATGGCTTTGGTTAATCTTTTACACCCTAACATCAATATGGACATTCTCCATACTGTTTTTTATACATTTCCTAAGGTGCTGACAAAGAGAGTTTGTTTATCAATCAAGAGAATGTTTAGTTTGTGATCATTTCCTTTACTCTCATGACCTTACTGTGTGATGCAGGGGTTATATTGTTGGGAGAAATTTGATGCTAGTCACTTAGTTAAAGGATTAAGCTTTCCTTCACTCTGTGATTGGTCCAGAAAGCTTCTGCTACCCTCTTAACCAATCAGATGCAAACCTATGAAACAATTGTGACTTGAACGCCCGCGTTTTCCCGCACCTTAAGGCGTTTGCATGTTTTCACTGCTAGTCCTCATTGGCCACTGGCGATGTTAACCTTTGGTCTCGTTGGTCGATCTGACGACTTTGGTTTTGGTTTTTTTTTTAACACCTAATTGAAAACTTCTACAATGTATATGGATTGTTGCTGTTGTTCAGTCTCGTAATATAATGGGTTAGGGAGCACATTGTGTGCGCCGGACAACAGCTGTGAAGGAGAATTATGTATAGAATGTACGAAGTTGTAAAAATGTAACGCGGATAAAGGGAATTTGATTTTGACAATTTTCTGATTAGATTCCTAATTAAGCAAATTGATTTAGCTCCCCTATGTTGGAGATGGTATCTTCCTAATCAAGATGAATGATTAAGTTACTTTTGACTATTACCAATTGTATAGTATTTGGGAATAAAACAATGGATGAAGTTCTCTAAAGTAGTTTCAGAGGACATATTGAATTATATCCTGACACTGTCTGGAGGAGAGCCCCAATGGCCTATTGGTTAAAATGTCCGGCACCAGGCCCTAGCAAGGTCACTGTGTTCGTTTGTGTTTGTTTTTCATGGGCGAGACACAGCTTTTACAGTGTCTCTACCCATTCAGAAGGATTAATCAGTTCTGGAAAACACTGAGGTCTTCTGAGATGCAAAGGGTTAACCTTGTGATGGACAAGCATCCCATTCAGTGGCAGTTAGGAGGGAGAAACGATGGAACCAGCAATATTCCTATTCATTGTTCGCTACTGAATCTGGGATAAGCTCTAGCAAGATGAGTCATTTGACATCCAAAATACAGGTGTATCTTTACGTGCCACCTTACTTTTGTCAAAGGTAAGGTGGAGAGGGGGGTCTCCCTTATAATTCTTGTTCGGGGTGTGCCTCCCCACTCCCCATTCTCCAACTCCTGGTCTCACATTAGATTAGCGCATGCCATTTTCCACACCTCATGACTCCTTGTTCGTTTTCAGACCTTGAATGTTTTCTACACAGAAGGAGTGTGGGAAGGGCGACAGCTCGCAAAAATATCATTTCGTTTTGTTCTCAGAGATCACAACAATAGTTTAATGGGAATCTATATCCTCTGTATACTTGCTTATTCTCAAATGCGGCAGATACAACATTCTGACGCATTGACTTTCACAATAATTTACGTCTATACCTACGTTAAATATTGCAATCCAAAGATGATTTTACATTAAATACTACATCTAACAACCATTTCCATTGCCATTTCTTGAACTTCTGGATGCATTGATTTTTTTTTAAGCGCGTTAAAGAAAAAACTTAATTCAAGCAGAAGCCAGTTCAGTATCAAATGTTCTTTCTTTTTAATGGCCGTACTCTGTGTCAGAGTCAACCACGTAACCTTTCTCTTCGAATAATGTTTACCTCTAAGGTCAGAATTATATATTATTTAGTTCAGAGGAATAAATTTTGGGTATTATATTTTGTTTTACGGTTATGTAGAAAGCTGAGATAGCTTTCCTACGAGCTGAGTTTACGTGCAGGTGATTTTTGCATTTGGTCCCATTAAAATTTGGTTAAAAATTGATGTGATCTAGACTCGCGATCAATATAAACAGAACATTAAAATGTCACCTAGTGGATACGAATTTATCTTCTCGTGTTGATATTATCCCATCGAACACTCGAGGACTAAATTCGTATCCACGCACAGCCATGTAATATCTTCTCTGTAAGACATGTTAGATCAATGAGTTACGAGTTTGAGGTTCGAAAAAACAATTTCACCTTTGATCTTCAATTCATGCTGTATAAATTCACTTACAATTCAGCATAACTCGGTAATGCTGTTGTTTCAAAGAAAGAAATGTCTATTCAGGCTAACAGAACAGAACAAAACTAGGTCCTTGAAAACCACAATGTAAAATGATTTCACAGCGGGTTATTCATTAACGTTAAACAGAAAAAGAAACAAATTATTCAAACTCAAAAACTCGAAATCATAAACCTAAACTTGTTATATTAACTATTTCCTGATCGATGAAGGTAAGTACACCTTGATGACCAGTTTAGTAGTACCACTTGTAAAACTTTGCTGCATCCACAGAGGTCATGTCTCTCTCAAACAGCAGCAATAATTCACAGTGTTTAGTATGAGGAAAAAGATCCACAGGTACGGCTTTAACCAAGCGAAATGGTGCTGTTTTGATCCTCTTTGAGGTTGGCCTACATAGACTGAAAATAAAAGGAAAAAAAAAGACAAAAGTGATTGCGTGATTGAGTGCGAATCATTAAAAAAAAACGCAAGGCTAGGATCGAAAAGGTGCAAAACAAGAAGTTAACGAAAGAGCTTTTCCCAACTCTAAAAATTTTCCTCGTCGCCTAAATTACCAAGATGAGTATAGTTATGGGCCGGGTTGTTCCAAAGCTGGATTAAGATAACCAAGGGTTGGTGTGAAATCTGATTTCAGTTCTGAAGGCTTTAAAAGAAAATTCAGTATAAATGTCTTTTTGTCTCCAATTTGATGATTGCATGACGAATAGTGAAAATCATCCAAAAAAGTCTTGAACAAAGAATTAAAGAAACCCGGATTACCATGTAACCCTGGATTAGTGCAAATCATCCTTTGAACAACTGGGCCATGGTCATTAGAGCAGTTAAAGTTTAGTATCGAAAATAACCCCGCCTCAGTTCCTTATGTGATTGGTCCAGGAAATTTGGGCCAAAATCTTTAACTAGAACCAGTCTCAACTCGGTCACTCGTGTTCTCTCAAGCTTTAAGCAGGTTGTCTGTTTTTTTACGATGAGTTCTCATTGGCTGCTGATGATTTTACCCTGTATTCTGATTGGTAATTGTAATTACTTTGGTTCGGTTTGTCAACACTCAATTGAAAAATACTCTATTGTAAAAAGTCTCGTAATCTATCGCCGTCGAAGCTTACATCCGAGTTCTGAGGTAAGAAGCTGCTAACAATATTGCAAGTCCCTGTTCCATCACGGGTTACCCTCAACCCCCCTCCCTCTGAACTTCGTTGGGAAGAGTAGAAGTAAAACGTATGGCAGAAAGTCGAAAACTCACTCGAGAAAGTTCACGAAAGCAGCGCTTGGGTTACATGACACGTATATCAGTTTGTCCATCCGACGACTCTTCCTGATTGCGTGTATAACTGACTGGTCTACAGAAACAGAAAAAGCAAAAAGACAAAACATAACTCAGTTCAGAGGAAATGGTTGTTTCACCCTAAGGTAGAGAGAAAGAGCTGTCGGTTCAAGACAGACACATAAAGAAAGGAAAGGCTAAAAGTAATAAGAAGGACTATATAATAAAGAAAATAAAATAAGCATCTGATGCAACGTCTAGCGTTGTAAATTGCACAGCTAGTGGTATCACATATCCTAACAATTCTAGCGCTTCCTTTTCTGGTTACTTTATGCGCTTACTCCCTTAGAATATTCCTTACAGGCATAGCCATGTAACTCAATTGAGTCGAAAAATTGTCACATTGCGATAGAGCAAATTTTACGGCAATAAACTGTACAAGTTACGCCACACATGCTGGTTACGAAATATTCACGATGTGTTCCGGTGACTTACGAAGTCCAGCTCGGGGTGGGTCCATGATGCCGATGATCTTAGTTTTTCTCGGCATGTTCTTGAACACGTCAACAATGATGTCTTCCGCTTTCCCACAGACAAACTGAGCGTTTGAAACCCCTAAAGTGCAAGATACAGTGATAAATTTCTGACTTTTAAAGAAAGCCAAATCTTCTCTATGAGCAAAACTTCGGCCCGCTTCAATCAAAAACACTCAATTTGTATTAAACAGGATCATCGTAAATGGCCTTATTAGGTCACCCTCTCCATTAAATCTCCCCGTCTGGAGCTTCAAGTTGCTCTTAACCCTTTAACTCCCATGAGTGACCAAGACAGAATTTCTCCTTACAGTATCGACTCAATATCAACCAGATAAGTGATGAGAACAGAGAAAAATATCAATATGAGGATAATTAGTTGATCCAATACTAAATTCTCTGAACTAATATTATAAGAATTGTATAGTGCACAGTGAGGAGAATTACAAATTTGATCTGGGAGTTAAAGAATTAAACCTTCTTCCGTACGGGACCCTTGTCTCCACTTCCCCCATCACAAGACTCCACAATAAAAACGCACGGCAAGAAAAAAGAATATGATAATAATGCTTGACAAATAGCAATACCGAAATAACAAAATATCCTTGTATTCAAAGCCGTATCAATTTCTTTTAAAACTATTGCGTTTCTCATGTAACGAAATGTAACCTGTGTGTAGTTTTCTCAAAAGCTGGGCGGCCGAGTTTAAACACACCACCCCTGCCTCTGACAGGCACCGCTTTCTAATACGAAGCCCCCCCCCTCCCCCGTCGAGAAGCCCAAGCCAGGGGGGTGGGGTTGGGGTTTTTAATGGGGCGTTTGCGGTATGCTTCTCATGGCTCGGGCAACCATACATAGCCCTTCGGCCGCTATTTTTCAGAGACGATTTAAAAAGAACGGCAAAGAGCTGTAGGTATGAGACCGGCGATCCATCAAAAGTAAACCAAGACTGTGAAGAGAGGCAACATGTACGAACTCACCGTTTAAATCCGCATTAGCTTTGGCATCTTCCACAGCATTTTCGATAATCTCGACACCTATCACTCGCTTCACGCTCTGTAAAAGAATCGCTGGTTATTAGACAATTTTCCAGTTTTCAAATATTCGCAGCAGGCTGATTTATCATGTGTGGCGTAATAATTTTCCGTCTAGGAAGAAATCCCCAGTTTGGTTTTCCTTGGAAAAATTGGAGCAATTTTGAATTGGGTTTCAAATACATTCGGGTTGGGTTAGATTTATTATGCCCTTAGACTAGTCTAGAAGTCAGCGCCACCCTCTCGACCCATCAGATGCCCCTTCCATGCATTTATTTCGAGTTTCCACCGGTTCGTCATGTCGTGAACCTTTGTCCCGGCTGGCTGCTGCGATGAAAAGGGTTCTGAATGTGTTATCAACAAGAAATACTTAACCCACCTGGGCCAGACATAGACCAAGGGCTCCAGTACCACAACATATGTCTGGGAGAGAGAACATAGATACCATTATTAAAATGAAGATTCTTAAGCTGTAGTGTCGAAAGTACTACTGATTTTGTTCAAGGTTTTTAGGCAATTTACCACGGTCATCTCGAACTCACTCGAGTGTAAGCATCACTCCCTCCGGTCATTTTTATTTTCCCTTTTATGTTAAAAACAGCTGGGTTCTACCACAGGGAAATTTAGTATTATGCACTGAGTTGATAACGTAAATTGGCCACCATAAAGAGTTTTAATTACCCTGTTATACTCTCCCACCGACGCAGCACCAGTTTCTATAGAAACTTACCCCTTTATGCAATTGGGTTCTACCATAGCTTGCTCACAGCTGGTTCTTCTATGAACTGATGTAAGAACACCATTGGTGCATTTCCCACCCTTCAACAAATTCTCTACGGGATGCCCAGGCTTGAGCAAAACTCGCACCATTTTCCCAACCAATCAGATTCAAAACTAAAACCAATGGCAACTTGATTGCTCGCTTTTCTCGTGCTTCATATACTTTGCTTGATTTGACTGTTGCTATCCTTGTGATATTTTGCTCTACTCTGATTGGCTGTTGTAATTACTTTGGTTTTCGTATTAAGATACACAATCGAAAAAGCACTCTAAAAGTGGTATGCCTATTACTCACCAAGTACCACTGTTTCGTCTAGGTGGTCACCACACCACTCTTTCAGCAAGTCAAATAACTTTTCAGTTGCCTTGGTGTTCACTGGGCACAGAAAACAAACGGGTACATCAAAGTGATTGCATCAAAAGCCGTGTGGGATAACAACCGTTTGGCTCTACTTTACTCAGTATTTAGTCTAGACAACTGATGCCCTCGTCTAAACCAATAGGCAGATTCAAAACCAAAAACCAATCTTGACTTAACAGGGAAATTTAGTATTATCAACAGCGTTGATAACGTAAATTGGCCACTGCAAGAGTTCAAAACATTTTGAGCTTTGAAACTCTTTACGGTTGATAATGCTAAATGACCCTGTTATACTCTCTCATCGACGTAGCACCACAGTCTCTTTAAAAAGTTACCTCCTTTATTCAATCCTGGCTTATTAGGCTGTGCTCTCCTGTGCTTTAGAGAGTTTGGCTGTTTTTACCTAGTGTCCTAATTTGCTCCGAGGGATATATATTTTTTTTTGATTAGTTGCTGTGATTTTTGGTTGAAAGCTACTAAATACCACAAATTAGAGGCTTATCGTTAATCAAGGCAAAAACTATGAGAAAACTACGTTGAATTAATGATGGCTGTTTACCTTGAAAGAAGGAATCAGGAGATATTCTGAATTTCAATCCACAAAGCTCTTCATAAATATGCTTAAAATTAAACAAATTACTTCAGTTAGAGCAAAAGTCAACAAAGGTATACAAAACCAAAAAAGAGTATTATGTATGGATAAAGTTGCATAGAGAGAATCAGAGGAGGGAATTGTTTGACACTGCATTGCAGGACTCACCTCATCTCCCATGATATGAACAAAAGGAGCCTCTGCATTTCCTCCTACAGCCCTATAAAAGGAACAAAGTTACATTGATGTTACAGACTTTTTTGTAAATATGGATTAAAGTCTGCTCCACAATGCTGCAGTTTTATCTAAATTCCATAGCATAGATCCTTTAAAATTACTACAGTTCTGCCCCAGTGATGGGATGCACCTTGTAATTTGCCCCTAGTATTTTGATTCAGGTTTCCTGACAATTTGCTAGTACCCAGTTATACTCCTTGGAGGCCAGACTCACTGGTAGACACAAGTGTCTTGCCCAAGAAAACAACACAATGACCCAGACATGGCTTAAGGTAGGACCTCTTGACTTACAGCTCAGTGCATTAACCCTTTAACCCCTAAGAGTGATTAGTAACTATTTTCTCCAATCATTATCACCCCTAAAACAAACACTGAGGTCATGAGAATAAAGGAAATGATCACCAACTGAAGAAGCTCCTGATTGTTAAACAAATTCTCCCTGTCAGTACCATAGGAAATGTATATAGAACAGTATGGAGAATATGTATACTGACGTTGGGGTGAAAATGGTTAAGCATAAGGCCACAAAGTCACACATTAGAATTTAAAAGATACATTAACATGGCAGAGGCTGTGGTATGTAGAGGAAGCTGAATGTACAGAAAGAAAGAGTTTGGCTTCAAACACTTGAACTAAATTATTTCTGGAGAGACAATGTAGTTGAAATGTTGCTGCAACTGTAGACTATCATGTCTCCAACATAGCTTTTTTTATAACTTAAAAGCACCAGGAATAATCTTACCTTGTGTGATTTATTTGAAGATAGAGTGATGTAAGTGTTACATCTTTCCCTTCTCCTGTTTTGAAATATTCACTGATTTGTTCCTTTTCTGCTTCAATTTCTTCCTACAGTAATTAAAACCAGTCAATCAAATGAGTCAAATTAATCCACCAGATAGTCTTTTTTCTATACCAGCAATCAACTAAAAAAGATAGCACCTGCATGCTGTAACTCTCAATATCGTGTACATTCTCAAAGTTTCCAATATATCTCAATATGCTCAGTACATGTGCATAGCATACAATACCTTAGTCATTTTTTGAGGGCTGAACTGTAGCACAGCCATGGTGTCACCATACATAGTGCTTCGAACTGTCAATGTTTGCCAATATCTATCCCCCAAACAAGGCAGAAAATATTTTTTAAGTTCAAACTTGGTTAACAGGTTCTACAGTGAAATTAGCTTATGAGCTAGTTGGCTTATCTCTAACAACACAATGATGTAGCCATAGCTTGAACCCAGATCTTTAAATCTAGAGTCCACCTTACCAACCACTAAGCCACAGCATCTCCCAAGATCAAATTTTAGCATATACTACACAAGTAAATCTTGTTTTTGGCAAACGCTACTAATTGGCTAATTCAGACATGATTAGCTTGTATTATTAACCTATAAACAGGCACAAAGACAAAATCACACTCAAGAGTTAAATTTTGGATTATTTTTCAGTATTTTGAAAGAAATAAACAATTTTTTAGTTTCTGTGTTACATACTGAAACAGTTATACACCACTGTTTTAGTGAAGGTGCTGGATATTTACCTCCACTTCAGTAAATAATCGTTAAATATCAGATTTATCTTAACAGGTGTCAGAAAGAAACATAGTCAATATTATGCACTCAAATCACCAGCAAACACGTTTTGCCAGTAACTAAAAACAGCAAATAAAAAGATAGGAAAACCTACCCAGTGTGGAAACAGAGATCATATACTGGCAATGGCGACTTCCGTACATAAGTCTGAAAAGCCTGCAAAGAGCAAAGGCCCTATTACAAACTGGTCACATCATAGTAAGTTGAGACATTGTCAGATCAGTAAAGAAGCAATATCTTACCTTAGCAATGGCCTTGGCCTTATCTGAAATATGAATACATTCAGATGGCTCTACAACTCCACTATAACCCTCTAGGAAAGAATAAAAAAAAATTGATCAAGTAAATGAATATAAGGGATACACAGCTATGCATTTTCTAGTTTGATGTGCCAAACTGAAACATGGAATTCTCTTCACCAATTTTAACCAGTGTCTCATTATAATTTCACCAAGAACATCTTCATGACATAGAAAGAAACGATAACAATGCATCTGAACCAGTTGCTAGACACTTAAATCGGCCTTTTCCTACATCTAGGCAGTTTGCAAAGCTGCAAAGCTCTAGAACAAAAATTTATCTTTGGTATCAACGAGTGCTTTTCATTCAATTAATTTATTCTTGAAGTCTCATCACCATATTTCCACCAATGGCATAGCTCCATTTTCTGCATAAAAAAACACACACAACCCACAATTCCTCGATTTGCTCTGACCAAGGACTAATGCTTGAAACGTCAGCTTTGAAAATCTTTATGATGGCTAATTTACACTATCAACTCAGTTGATAATACTAAAATTACCATATCGAAAGGTATACTTCATGCAGATGAAAATTTACCAATCAAGGGTCTTACCTTTATACGAACCAAGGCGGAATCCAACTGTTTTAGCTGCACAAGGGAAAATGTTTTTAAAAATGTTATGCGATGATAACTTAAATAACAATACTAATACTAGTACCTAATTTTTCACCTTCATAATACCTCTTCAATTTGACACTTGAATGAACTTCTGCTAGGTGGTAAATGATGAAAAATGCATTTGTGAGGGGATCAAAGAATTATTTATTCTGTGGTGGACTGTTAGCAGTTTGCCTCAGGGAATTCATTTTTATTCTTAGAAAGGTACAAAACAAACATAAAAAGTGTTGAGGCCATACAAATTTTGAGCACAGACTAAACTATGTCACCTAAAAAAGACATCAGTCTGCAAATAGATTAAAATTTACAGATTTCTCTGTAGTGGAACCAAATTAAATAACACCAACAATAATGTAACTTTTAACCCTCAGACATACAAGGGAACCTCTGGTCAGCAGTTGGTATGCTCAATGGTCATAACCTCATGTTAAAAAGAAAAAACTTTTTTTCTGAGGTTGACAATGTGGTGTGATCCTCAGGCGAAGGTATTTACTGATGATTTGAAAACCCAAACAGAAGACATCATCAGTGTCAAGTTAGAGTAAATTTTGCAGTGCAGTAAACTGTTATAAATTTGCTTAGTGGAAACTGGCTTATACTTTTGGTTGTTATTTGAATAGCTATTAGACTCAAATTGCATTCATCAGTTATGTTTGGTATTTTGGTTATGCTAATGCTGTGAAAAGGGTAATTCATGTGTTGGGTGCAAAAAGTTCTTGACACCTGTTGAGAGGAATCTCTTTTATATTAGTAAAGCAGCTCCTTGTATTGATAGTTACTGCTGTAAGTTGTATAACCATCAATAAGAATACCTGTAAATGGTGTGGAGTTTAACAAGATGATGTTCAGCCATGTGATTGTTTGTATCAATAGAAAAATTTCAGAATATTTCCACAAGGCAAAACCAAACAGGGTGGTACAAATAACAGTTGAACCTCTCAACAATAGCCACACTGCTGAGGTACTGATGACCGATGACTGGCCAGTGTAGAGGTGGCCGATGTTGGGAAGGTACCACCCTTTTCCCCCCTTTCACTCCCAAGGTCTAAAATCACTTTCCTGCAATGCGTTAGACTATAGTATACAATTTTTTTTAATTTTAGCTCTGAGAATTTGGTGAGTAACCAACTAATTTTCCCTTCTCCTTGTTATCTTCCTGCTTGTACATGGGTTGAAAAAATGAAGGGAAATTCATTTTTGGTCACTCCTGGGGGTGAAAGGGTTATCAAGAGTGATAAGTATGGAGCTGAGCAGCTTTGTAATGAAGTAGCTGTAACTTTCTGCAGAGAAGGCTGATGTGGAGAGGCAGCCACTTTATTTCAAGCAACTTGTATGTCCAGGGGTCAGATTCAGGGCCTTCTATTTGGAGTTAATTTCTGAATGTGCATGTACTCATAAACCATGCCAACAGTATCCTACCTCCATCAGGACCTTCAGCTATAGTGAACTCACACTTATTTCGATACCCATCGAGAACAGGCTGAAATGTTTCAAAGGCAAAATTAATGGATGGGATGAGGTCTGACTTCATGTATTGTCTGCCCATCACATTGCCGCCCGACTCTCTTAAAGGGCCTCAGAAACCCACCTAGTAACCATGACAACATTGGGATCACAGCTTGTGATCAACCTACTACAATGTTACCAACACTGCTTGTCCCTTTCGTGCCAAAACTTTGTTTTCTTTTTTTCAGTAGAGACAACCTTTTTCTCTTTTTCTGTTACAAGAAATAAGTACTCCTAGATTTCTTTCATAAGTATTAATCATGAACTGTCTATCAAGAAAATACTTCAGTAGAACAGGAAAAACAAAAATATGGCAGAATGACACATTTCTTGTGAAAATAAAAATCAGAGTCACTTAAATATCAGACTTTCTGATTACCGACTCATTTCAGTTTATAAGCAAAATTTATAAGAAATAAAAAAGAGCAATTAAAGCAGTATCATTGTTACTTACTGATTCAACACAGTCCAGAAGCTCACAACAAATTCCATTTCTTTTAGCACTACAGAAATATAAAAACAGCAATTAAACTGATAATGGAGCATTGGACTCAAAAGTTTGCTCTAAATAATTATTAAGCAGCCTGAATTGGTTTACAAATGCAATCACAAATATACAGCCAATCCTTAAGTTAGCATCTGGGGTACTCCTTCTAAATTGAGGCCAAGTCTGTATTTAAGCCAATTGGCCCATCTAGTTGGGGCTTGTCCCAGTTTCTTTAGCATGAAGCGACTAGGAGTATGACTACTCTCCTCTGGGTGGGATGCTAATCCATCTCAAGGTCACCCTGCCTTGCATTTCATCAAGCTTCCCTGACAATTTTCCAGTACACATCTACGCTCATGGGTGAAGAGGCATTGTGTGAGTAAAGTTTTTAGGGGAGGGGCACTTATTGAGCAGTGCTCTTTAAGTTTCTTCCAAATAACAGCGAGATATGACAGCTTATTTTAACATAACATCTGTACACAACCAACAGCATAGACAGCATATCATGTTACAAGGCTGATCCTAAAGTGCTAATAGCATCACAGCATGGTTACTTTTCCAAACCTATGGAGTTGGCTTACTTGGGGGGGAAGAGGGGGGGG